AGACACTTTGTTATGTTGGGATGATATGAAGAAGCCACCGCCCTCGATTATTAAAGGTGTTTTTTTTTATTCTTACAGACTGAACATATTAACCACTCATTACTCTGTTAACTGGTAATAGTTAGAAAAGCCCTACGGGAGCATCTGTGCAGGTCCATGAAGATCTCTTAATGGCGTGTAAGGTCTGGTTTTGGAGAGGCGAAACGTCCTCGACGTGTGTAGTAGCTGTGGAGAGGCAGTCGCAGCACGCTCTCGTGCCTAAATGATAACTCTCCAATTTAGCATTATCTGCTTCAGGGGTTAGAGGTGCTTTTGGACTCCATCATGTGAGTAGTCAGATGTTTCTTTCTGGTCAAATACTCATTAACAAAAGCAGAACTATTTGCCAAATCTGTTTTTTCTCTCCAAAAGCTTCTGTTCCATCACCAAAGCCACGCAATTTTTTTCCTAATGGAAATGTGCAAACAGTGGCTGCTTGGCTTTTTCTCTCTGCTACCAGAAGAGACTTCATTAAAAATAAAGTGAAAATTTTCACTGATAGCTCAAAAATTTCCACATTTTTTTTGGGACTTTGACTTTTAGAATAAAGGATATTAGAAGTTGGTTATCCTCCCATCTGTAAAAGCACAATGACTCTGCTGTGGAGGACGACTCGTGGTGAGTGTGTTCCTGCCAGAAAATGATGAAGTTGAAACAAGCTGTTCTGTCAAAAAAAAAAAAAAAAAACTTTAACTGTCTTCAAGTTGCCTAATAGTGTTTCGGTGTTTATTATTTGTGGGCTTGAGGAATTTGTTTGAAAGGCGCACATCCTGTTACAATGAGCGCCTTTCTGTTGGACTGAATGCCTTACCAAATTAATCTGCTTTTCTGGTTCTGACGCGTTATTGGCAGAGGAACGAATCGTGAAGAGTCAGATTAAATTTAGTCTGCTTTTAAGGAGTTAACACCATTCCAAGGACGCACAGACAGAAACGCACGACTATAACAGTTATTCAGAGTATTTAAACTGATCGGGGGTCAGAATCTGTCTTCGGTGTAATTACTTCATAACATTATGACCAGATCCAGCAGCGTTTGTAAGTCACAGTTTGTCGACTTTAATTTTCAAATGTGTTTCAGGTGTCGTAGCTCCCGAGCATGTACTTATAAAACATGCACCCCTACGATTTCAGCCAAGCGTTGAGTCCAAATAAAAAAAACTGAAGAGAAAAAATGTTGCGTGAACATCTTGGCTCCACTTGTCAGCAGCCTACGTGTGCTTGTTGATAGTTTCCAGTGTCTGCTGTGAAGGCAAATCAATTAAATCCCGATCCTGTGACTTGTTCGCTGCATCTTTGCCTGCGCTGTATGTGAGTTAGATGCATTATTCAAGTGTTAAGTGCTTTGCAGCATTATAGAAAACAGTCAAAAGGTGATAAGAGGCTCGGCACTCTGGATTACTTCAATTTAATCTCTAATCACAAGTTTTCTTTTTGGGACCTGAGATGAGTAATGTTTAATTTTTTTGTTGTTGCTGAGCAGTGGAAGGACACCAGGATGCAACAGTGCTAGCTGACATTCCACAGGACCCCCCCCCCCCCCCGAGTTGTTCATTACAGTAACGTGCGTGCTTTTGTGTGTGTGTGTGTGTTGTTTTGTAGAGGCCAAAATGAACACGGTGTACTTTATTGAACACACCCTCTGTTATCTGTTATCGAATCAGCTCTTCATCTCCGGACTGTTGCTGAACATTTCCCCGTGTCCTTGTTTCATATTTAAACTGAGCTGAATTGCATCAGATCACATGAGGGGAAAAGCATAAATTCTGGCTGTCTGCATGCAAATCGGCAGAGGAGATTGAAATCAATTATTACAATTTGAGCTGCAGAGCTCTCAATCAAGCTTCCTCCCGAATAAGGCGCAACACAAAGCGCTCTCTAACGAAAATGTGCGTCAGATTCATCAAAACGCCGGGCGTATGCGCGAACATGGCCATGAGCATCCCATAATGCCCAGTGGCCCCTTTTGTCTCCTGATTTAAATGTACTGGGGGGTGGGGGGTGGGGGGGGGTGCATACTTGTAGTGTGCGTTGTATTTGCATATTCAGCATGTACATAATTCACATGGCTGATACTGCTCCTTTCATAATCATGCCTCATGTTCCTCCTCTCAGCCCCATCCCCCTTCCTTGCCATTTCCCCCCCCCCCCCCCCCACCCACCCCCCACCCCACCCCCCCATTAACTAATGTCCAATTCGATGCAGTGAATTTCAGGAGCTTGTCACCTAACGCAGGCAGCTGATTAACCTGGAGCCTGGCTGGTGGAGTTGCAATCCTCGTCCCATCTTAATTCCCCCCCCCCCCCCCCCCCAAATACTCCGCCTCTCCTCAAGCCTTTGTTGTGGTGGCAGCAGCCGAGCATGCGTTGCATTGGGGCGGGCTGAAGCATTGTGTCTGATTTCCAGCAGACAAACTGACCTCTGGGGATTTTATTGACGGTAAACTCCACAGAGGCAGCAGACACAGAGCTGGGAGCGTAGCTGCAGCTAGAGAGAGAGAGGGAGAGGCGTGGCGGGGTGTGTGGGGGTCGTTGGGGAAGGCCTAAGGATGAGTGGAGGTTGGGGGGGGGGGGCACAGACGGACAGATAAAGGTATGGAGAGAAACAGGTACAGAAGAAGTAATCAATATGGCGGGACGAGGAGGGGAGGTGGGCTGTTGTGTGTGTGTGTGTGTGTGTGTGTGTGGGGGGGGGGGGGGGTAAAACATGTGGAATGGAGCTCGATTTATAATTTCAAATTTTTTTTATCAGCGAGTGAAAGAAAATGGCCGCCTCCTACAAGGATCTAATTAATTTTGAAGGATCATCAGCCCCTTTAGTCCGAGGCAGGGTACAGGAGGGAAGGAGAGGGGAGGGGTGGGGGGGTGAGAGGGTGTGTGAGGGAGGAGGCAGACCCCTGGGCTGATTAGAATTCACTGCAGGTAGGCGCTGGCTGCTGCTCACCCACTGTGTCACGGCTAAAATGGAATCACTGTTGTGAGTGGCAGTCTGGGCAACGCTGGCCTGCTTCCCTTGGCCTGCTTCCTTTGTTGCCAGCGTTCACCTCACTTTACCCCTCTGGCAGGTGGATTTACATGTCTGGATGGGAGGAGGGAGGGAGGGGGGAAACCATAGAGGGGGTATCTACACATGTTTGCATTGTCTAAAAGTAGACCCACACAAAAATGATCCATAACGGTAGGATACAGTTGCATCTGAAGCCAAACCCTGCAGGAGAAGAAGAAGAAAGGTCAAATATTTGGGGTGGTAATGAATTCAGGCTTTTAGCCACATCTGTAGTGGAATAAAACAGAAGGCTTTAGAGCATGGTGTTCGGTTGGCTCTTATTTAGGGGAAAGGTTTCCGAACACAGCGAGGCAAAGTTTTCATCGGAGCCACGTTGCTCTCACGTCTCCATTTCTTCTGGGGCAAGTTTGTTGTCCATAATAAAAGTTCCCCAAAATAAAAACAAATAAACAATCCTTTTACGTTGTGTGTGTGTGTGTGTGTGTGTGTGTGTGTGTGTGTGTGTGTGTGAGACGAGGCTTCACCCTCTGCTGCTAAACATGCCACCACTTGTCTGTATCGAACCGTCAAATACGTTAGATGTCATGAAGACTTCAGGAAGTGAACATTGCGAGGTCATTAGTGATCATCAAAGATGGGCGCGTGAACCCAGAGCAACTCATGAGTTATGTCACTTAAGTTCTGCCCCCCCCCCCCCCCCAGCACACACACACACACACACACACACACACACACACACACACACACACACACACACACACACACACACACACACACAAGGAAACAAAGTCCTCATCTCTGAGGCACATCCATTGTTAAAGAAGAATCTGTTACCTTGGCACCGAAAATTAAGACCGGAGCATGAAAGAGAAATTGCCTTCTTCCAGACTGTGGGGATGAAGCACAACTGTGGATTTTACCGGTTGAGTGGACGACTTCGTCCTCTACTTCTCTGGAAGTATTTATTTTTTCTAAAAGCTGTAAAAGAATACTTAGTGTCAACACTAATGTGCACGTCCGGTCAAACCCGAGCCCCGTTCTGGTTACTCAGCAGCACCGAGGATTTACTGACATTTTAACTGAGAGCATTTGTAGCAAATGGAGCTGCTACTAAATGCTTTATTTCTCCTTTTTCTTACTAAATTTACCCCCAAATTTTTAAGAGTGTCAGGTCAAACTTCAAACCCGAGTCTGAACTGACATCAGGCATCAGCGCGTGGTGATATTTCCTGATCATTTTAAGGCTTCTCCTTGAACAAGGTATGACTAATAAAAGGGAATGTGTTTGAAAATGGCATTTAGTGCTGGTTGGATGCATTTTCCCTTCAGTTTCCCAACCATAAGCGATGCTATGAAAGTGCGACTGGAATGTGGGTCATTTTGTGTCACCAAACGTACAAACTTTAGTGTTTGTTGGGTTTAACAACACCTGTGATTGTCTTTCAGCGCATCACACGCTGTTGAATGCCTGATTTCATTCAGTGTGTTTCAATATTTGACTCATTCCCATTGTTACTTCCCTGATGTTGCCCTACATCTGTATCAGGCTGCGCGGATTTGTTTGTGGCTTTAAAACAAAATAAATTTCCACGTTATTTGAACAGTTATTTAAACAAACGGATCCCTTTTCTGTAGAAGGGTGTGGTTTTGTTGTCCAGTGGCTCAGATAACTGTTAGGGAAGAAAAAAAAAAACAGGCTCCAGCTGCAAAATATCTTTTTAAACCTTGATTTGTAAATTTGCAATCACGTGATCACCAGAGCGTCCATTCACCTCGCTGTAAAAACTCTTCACACATCTGTTGCAGCACGTCTGTGGCAGATCTTCCCGTTACTGTGGCTCCGGGTTCATTAAGGGAGTGGCAATATCGACAGGCAGTGTGTGGCATTAAGATTTGTCTTTGTCTTTTCTCTCTCCCTCTGCCTCTCTCTCTCTCCCCCCCTCCAAACACTGTAGAGCCGAGCAACACATGATTTGGACAGAGAGGACTGACAGCATTGCCTAGCGCCAGGCCTCTGATCAGCCATCTCCACCAGCAAATGAAAGCCTGACCCGCACTTCATCACCAGCCTTCACAAGCATTTCATTAAAACAAAACAAAACACACAATAACGTCATCTAACTGTGAGTACCGGCCTGTTTTTATTGTTTTGTCCCTTAAATATAATTTTCCTGCTGTTTGAAGGAGTGCTTTGGGTTGTGTTTGCGCTGCAGCTGCAGACATTCTAGCTAAAGTCTAGTTTCATGTGTCACCATCTAACTGGATTTTATATTTTTTACACCTTTCTGAGATTGATTCCTACTCTGATTATAAATTAGCTCCTTTTTTTTGCATAAGTGTGATACTAATCGATTCACTGCAGCTCGACATTGCCTCCTGATTGCATTTTGATCGTTTTATTCGTTGACAGATGGGTTGCAAACAAATTATTTAAGCAATTAAAAATTTTATTTTTATTTTATTAAAGCCATTCTGAATTTTTTTTATATAAAACCAACACTTTTTTCTAAAAGAACCGCTGAGTTCAAATCAACAACAAGAAACAATTCTTAAATGCAAATGAGAAGAAATTCTTCGTAAATCTAAAAAATTTAAAAATTTTAAACATTTTTATTCATAAAATTTGGATTTTTGTTTATTTAAGCTGGTAAACGAGCCAAAATAATAGACCACCTTCATGAACCTGCAGTTTGATCGGCCAGGTCATGTTTAGTGTGTTGCAAGGATATTTAGGGAAACGCCATCATAGTGAACACATGGCTGACAAAAGAGGCCTGTTGTCGTCCAGGTTCAGTGCGCCACCTATTGGCTGCTGGAGGAACTGAAGAAACTGAATGGAACCGACTTGGAGCAGTTAGATGAGAACCATTTTAATTCACAAGAATAAAATGGAAGTTTTTAACAGCAGCTCACTGAATTATATGTTCCCTTCACATTTTCAGACAGCACTGAGAAATAAATGTTTGTATCTTTGTTTTTACTGAAACAATTGTTTGAATAACAGACAGTAAATATTATTTTTAAGGTGTTATTTAATATAAAGCAAAGATATTTGCGATACAGCTTTAGTATTGTAGTTTCTGTAGAGGCAAATGATGGTTTTCACACACACATTTACTCTTAAAGCTTTCATTCTGTGTGTGTGTGTGTGTGTGTGTGTGTGTGTGTGTGTGTGTGTGTGTGTGTGTTTTGGCTTGACTGACCTCTGAATGTGCAGTTTTGTCTTCAGCCAGGTGTTCTTACTCCCTTCCTGCAGGTGACATCAGTTGCAAGGGGATGACCGAGCGCATTCATAACATCAATCTCCACAACTTCAGCAATTCTGTACTCGAGACCCTCAATGAGCAGCGCAACCGCGGGCACTTCTGTGACGTGACCGTTCGGATCCATGGAAGTATGCTGCGAGCTCACCGGTGCGTGCTGGCTGCTGGAAGCCCCTTCTTTCAGGACAAGCTGCTCTTGGGCTACAGCGACATCGAGATCCCCTCCGTGGTCTCAGTGCAATCCATCCAGAAGCTGATAGACTTTATGTACAGTGGAATCCTGCGAGTGTCTCAGTCAGAAGCTCTGCAGATACTTACTGCTGCCAGCATCCTGCAGATTAAGACCGTCATTGATGAGTGCACCCGCATCGTGTCCCAGAACGTGGGCCTGGCAGGCCCGGGGGGTTTTCCAGTTATACCAGGAGATTCTGGTCAGGAAACGCCTCGAGGCACGCCAGAGTCTGGCACCTCCGGGCCCAGCAGTGATGCAGAGTCAGGTTATATGCAAGCAACATCTCAGCAAAGTGTAGAACGTACTTACACGTCGCTCTACTCCTACCCGGGCCATTCTCTGCAGAACGGCACCCGCGAGCGCCCCCTTTACATTAACCCTTTGTCGACAAATTATGACTCAAGCACTCAGAAGGACCAGCAATCTCAGGATCCACCCTGGATGAACCGAATCCAGGAGAGATCTCAGCAGATCGATCGCTTCATTTCCACTGCAGAGTCCACTCACTGCCGCAAGCAACCCCGACCGGTACGCATTCAAACAGGAGGGATGCACATCAAGGAGGAGGCCGAAGACGAGTACACCTGCTACGATGACATGGGGGACTGCCAAGACGACACAGATCACAACGAGGGGGTAGAGGGTGAATCCAAGATTGAAAGTTTTGACTCAGGGGTGAGCTCCTCCATCAGTACAGAGCCAGACATCATGGAGCAGCAGTCGTACCTGACGGGCTATGGGCGAGACGGGGGCGGGGAGGTGCAGCAGGGCAATGGAGCTCCGGTGCAGATAAAGGTCAACGACTCATCCCCCGAGCAGATGCAAAAGGCAGAGGATGGAGACACATCCCACAGCACTAGTGACAGTAGCATGATGCAGCCGCAGCCAAACCCAATCAAACTCAGTCCCATGTCGCAGTACATGCGCCAGATAGAATCACACACCAGCAATCTGAGGATGCCGCTCACGGTGACCAGCAACTCCCAGGTGATAGGCTCTGGTGGAAGCACCTTCCTGCCCACTCTCTTTCCTACACAGCCGGCTAGAGACCACAAGCCTTTCCTTTACCTTTCTGGCCAGCAGCAACCCCAGTTTGTGGCAGTGCCGCCCCCCACAATGCCATCATTCCCAAACCCCATGTCGGTACCACAGGCTGCAGCTCAGCAGCAGCAGGCTGCTGGAGGGATTGGTCAGGGAGAGAAGAAGCCCTATGAATGCACTCTCTGCAGTAAAACCTTCACTGCAAAACAGAACTACGTCAAACACATGTTTGTCCACACTGGTGAGTCACAATTCATCTTTGTTAGACAACAGTTGATTGCATGCGAGTGCGGTTTGTGAAATTACAGATAAAAGCCCTTCTGTTGAGAAAATCACAGCATAATGAGGTTTAGTATGTAGGATGTAAAGACATCTAGCAGCACATATTGCTATGTGAAACCAGACACCCACTAACCACAAGCAGGTATTCTTTGGAGGAGTAAGGATCCCAGGAACTAAACAATGTTAAGATCTTAATAGATACTTATTAGGAAAAATGATATTAATGTTTGAAACTGTCAGAGGAGGAGGTGGGATTTTATTTTTACAGAGAAAAGTGACCTGATTGGGTCAGTTTAGCGGTCTGTGTCTAAAGCAGGTTACGCTTTGGTCTGTAGCATGTAGGAGTTTCATTCAGGTATGTGAAATTACTATGAAGAAATTATGGTCTGGCTTGGTGAGCCAATCACAGTGGGCTCAGACAAAAGTGACTAAAGCACAGATTCACTCTCAAATAATTCAAATAGTTGCTGTTAGCTTCACATTAGAGTTATTCTGGCACAAATTTCATAAAACCCTGACTAGATAAACTCTCTTAAGACGGCCACACACTGTGGGATTTTTGGCCCGTTCTGAGCTAGCTTTTGCTCTCGTGTGACCATCGTTAAGGTTGGGCTGATTGGGCTGAATAGCTCACGATTGACAATCGAGTGGTTGCCCGAAATCAAAAATATTTAAAATTCTGCTCATCACTCGTGATGATATCGCACTGTTGAAGCAGTACCACAACGAATGTAGCAGAACTGATCGCACAGCACACGCACCAATATGGCTGACCAGTCGTTTCCGTGTCTATAGGGAGCCTAAGTCACATCCGCATCACGGGTCCCCGGAAGAACGAAAAAATGAAGCAAGTCAACGGGGCTAAAAACGCTATTTTCTAATCCGCTTTGCCTTACGCCCTGGATCACACACATGTTGTACTGCAATTTAAATGAAAACTAATGATGGGTGTTTCAACCACGCCAGTTACGTCCTTTGAGATTTATCAGCTTGTAAAAGTTCGTAATTAGCATGACTACAAACTAGAAATCGCAGATGTGACGTCACCACATGATCTCCTCTCCCCAAAGTATCTGCTACTTACCACATGACCAGATTTATGGTGGTTTTTTCCTGCTGTGGGAAGTTTGCTGAACTTACAGTAATTTTCCCTCAGTTTTCTCCGTGTCTGGTTCGATGACGTCGCGGAGCATCAACAGTCAAACACAACACTGGTCTGTATGAGCGTGACACTAGCTGCGCAAATAACCTGTGAAATAATTAACAACATCATGCTAGATCAGCAGCCTGTGATGACACCTGGTTCAGCTCACTATAGGAGCCGCTTCTGATATAATTAAATGAATAAATAAAATAATAATATACAGAAAATTTATCAAACCGAACTCTTTAAGACATTGAACTGAACCGAATATGATTATAGCGTACCGTTATGCCCCTAACAGACATCAATAACAGCACAACAGTCTCCAGGTTATACGGATCTGAATTGTGACCACCGCACAGTTTCAGAAGTCAGGTTGCCACCGGGCGTTGGGTTGTGCAGAGTAAGAACAAGACTCGTGAGCTTTGCCCTGCGAGGAGGTCACAGTGGAGATGAATAAAAGGACTGATATTTTGCACAGTGAACGCTCAGCTTTTAACAGTTTTCCCAAATACTTGTTTAAAGTGACAATGTGTATTTTCCATGGCGATAGGGGGCAGTACGTACCTAAATCATTGTAAGCATGCAGATTTTTGCGTTCGAGTAAAACTTTACCAACGGATGACCAGATGGTCAAAAATCCTTGGGAGCACAACCTCACTGGTAACGCGTGAAGAGGTGAAACAGCAAAGTTTATGAATGGCAACATTTTTGTAACCGTTTGTTAAAACATTTTGTCCGCACGGGCTCATGTAGAAGGAAACATGGTATCTAATTTGGCGTCGCCCAGAGACTTACGCCCGGAACACACCAGCTGCGAAGCGCCGCAAAATGGGTCGCTCACGAAATTCGTGTGTGCCCGCTCCTCCTCTGTTCACATCAGGCGAGAATTTCTGACGAGCGCTTCTGCTCACGCCTACTGTTTTCCAAACCCCTCCACCCCACCCCCGTGCCCTTGCTGTGTGTGTGTGTGTGTGTTCATTTTTATCTCTCTAGTCTGTTTAGATACACAGAAATGATCACATTTATCAATCGCAGTGTTTTATTTTGACAAAAATTATTTATTTTGTTAAATTTACCGGCCTGGCTCTTCTGCTTTGGTTTGACTTCCTGCCAGAATTGACGCGGCTCACTTACAGCTCACAAAAAAATTTCAGCTCCCGTCAAAATGATCGCTGCACGGCGCTAGCCTTCGTGGCGCGAGCCTTCGTGGCGCGAGCCTTCGTGGTGCTTCGTAGCTGATGTGACCAAGAACGTAGGTTAACAAGGGCACCGATTAGAAGCGCTCATTGTTCCACGGCGCTTCGCGGCGCATCGTCACGCTTTCGCGTCTGGTGTGTTCCAGGCGTTAGACCCGCTCCCATGTATTTAGACCAAATTTTAATGGTTAAATGTCACAAAGTCTCCAATATTTTTCAGCAACTGGGCATAATTTCATTCGTTTTTAACAAAAGTTTGATGGCTATTTGCAGAGATTAACGGTAAAAACTACACATTGTCACTTTAGTATCTATAGCTTTTTATGTAAAAACTCCCAAAAAAAAAACTCGTAGCAATGAGAGACTGTACAGCAGCATCTGCTAAGAGTAAGAGCAAAGAGCAACAGTAATCTGCATTTGCTCTGTCCCAACTCTCACTACCTGTTCAATCGTGTCAAAGTTAATTTCAGTTTTTCCAAACTAGGGCTGTTCATAGAAATACTAATGCTAAATAAAAAATATATAAATTATTCATAACCTTTCCACAAAAAAAACACACTTTAAAACATAAAATTACAGCTAATCCTTACAGCTATTAGAATTAAATCTATTGTTCTCACCTTTATCTTGAACATCAGGTAAAAATTAGCCTCCTTTTTTAGCATCTTAATTATATTCTACTGAATGTGTTGTAGCAACTCGAAGGCCAATTTAAAGCAAGAGCTCAGCCTCACGTTCAGTCCCATTAATTTCATTGAATAATAAAAAAAAGTACCTAGCTAGTCATTTAATTGAATTACAGCCTGATATAAACTGACTAGAAATTGCATCCATCACGTTGCAGCTGACTAACGTTCCTCTTATCATTTGGGTTCTCAAGCTGCACATTATTTCCCCGTGCACCGTTTTCTTTTAGCAGTGACAGCCTAATCAATCACGTACTGAGGAAATCATCATCACAAAAGAGGGGAAAAATTAAATATTATATAATTAGATGATCCCGTGAAAAATGTCTTCTCAACAATTGTTATTATTCACCACAGGGCTGCTTATGAGTAGAAGCACTTAAATGAAGGTTACTCATACGTTAACGCACATCAGATCCATCGCTTGACTAGTTAGGGTCTGGATATCCCATAGCAACAATGATGTAATACGTTTGCTTGTTTTGAAAAGAGAAAGAAAGGGATTGTTGTTCAGGTTTAAAAGGAAGCAGCACTGATCTAATTGTCCGACTGTCCTTGTAAGGATGTAAAACAGAGCGTCTTGTCTTTTGTTTCTTATAGAAATGATTCTTTTAGCAGTTGTAACCATTACATTATAATACTTTACACAGTCGTCTGTTAGAGGAGCCTGTTAATCTGTGTAGCAGAAACACCCGCCTGAACAGGACAACCTCACATGCTGCTTCTACTAACGACTGTTTTATGATCAGATTCTGAAAAAAATTAATACGGTTGGCGTAGTAATAATTGGCCTCATTAAATCAAAGCAGGAAGCTCGTCATTAATTCATCCAGAGTAACGGAAAGCGCACACGTGCTTCCATTAGCCTGTATAGGTCACCTGACCTGCTGGTATTTGCAGCGACACCAGGTTCTCCTTTTCTTCCATGTATTTTTGTTTATGCTGCTATTTCCCAAACTGTTATGCCAGCAGAGATCATTCTTTAAAATGATGTTTTATTGTACATATTTCTCCTATTTTAGCTGTTTGCATCAGATCTGCAGAAAATTATCAAGTAATTTTTGTATTTTTCTTTTTAAAATGTTTTATTTTTTTTGCCAAGGTTGTTAAAAACCTCTTATTTGACAGTTTGTTGTTACACAGCCTGAGTCACCACTGAACAAAGGGTCATACGCTCTAATATTTCATTGGACCGCCTTTAGATTTGATGGCATGCACAGCTTCGATAAGCTTCTGCGATGTCACCGGATTTATCTCCATCCTGTGTTGCATTCATGTTTCACCAAGATCTTGCAGTGATGATGGTAGAGTCTGACCGCTGCACCAAGCCTCCTCCAGCACATCCCAAAGATTCTCAATGGGGTTAAGATCTGGAGTCTGTGGTGGCCGATCCATGTGTGAAATGATGTCTCATGCTCCCTGAACCACTCTTTCAATATTTGAGCCAGATGAATCCTGGCATTGTCATCCAGGAATACGCCCGTGTCAGTAGGGAAGATGGAATAACCTGGTCATTCAGGATATTCAGGTAGTCAGCTGATGTCATTCTTGGAGCACATCCTGTTGCTGAACCTAGACCTGACCAACTGCAGCAACCCCAGATCATAGCACTGCCCCCACAGGCTTGTACAGTAGGCACTAGGCATGATGGGTGCATCACTTTATCTGCCTCTCTTCCTACCCTGATGCACCATCACTCTGGAACAGGGTCCATCTGGACTCATCAGACCACATGACCTTCTTCCATTGCTCCAGAGTCCAATATTTATGCTCTCTAGCAAACTGAAACCATTTTTCTGGTTTTCTTACAGCTTCCCAGCTGTTCAGTCCCAATCCCTTGAGTTCACTCAGCATTGTGCGTGTGGTTCTTACTTTCCCTATTAAACACAGTTCTACTGTTCTTCTTCGATTTGATTTCACCAAACGCCGATCACGATCATTCAGGATTTTTTTCTAGCCACATTTCTTTCTCGAAGACGATGAGTCCCCACTTTCCTTCCAGTTTTTAATAAAGCGTTGGACAGTTCTTAACCCAGTTTTAGTTGTTTCTACAATCTCCTTAGACATTTGCACTGCTTGATGCATGCCCTTCTCTAACAGACAACCATCAGATGTGTCTTTCCACGTGGTTGTTTAAGAAATGAGAAGCAGCTCATTTGGGGTTAACTAACTTGTTAACTCTAACCCTAACCCATGCAGTAACTATCCAATAGGAGGTTCCTACCTATTTGCTTATAAATCCAGGTGGCAACTTTTTAAGTTTTTGCAGAAGTTTAAGTCAGACAATCCTTCATCATTGTATGTGAGATGCAAGAATCTTATGGTTGTGTTTTATGATAAATCAGAGCCAGAAATGTCTTTGATTCAGTTCCAAACTGCTAATTTGCTCATTTTTTTGTCTTTAATAAGCATATATGTGCTTTCAGAGAGGCTGATTTACACACAGCAGCTTGAGCACCCAGAAATCTTTCATTAAAAATGACCGCACCACGCAGATTTTGACATTTAAGTGAAGGCCCTCATCAAATTGGCTGTTTACATGGTGAACAGATGGTGCTAAATTAGCTTCAGAAAAAGAAATGGGAATGGAAAGGGGAGGTTAAAATTGGCACGATTGTCCCAGGAGTGATGTAAATATGGCGTGTATTTTTTTTTTCAAGACGGAAGCAGATTTTCACCATTCAGTAATGATAACTATTGAAGCTTGTTGAGGTTTTGTGAAGAACATTCACACTCATCAAAACGTGTTCATGTGTGATTGTTCTAAGAAAGCAAACAAGTGTGAAGCTTTCGTCCCCTTAAGGCACTTTTCCGTTAGATTTAGCAAACGTTAGCTTCAGAATCGTTTCCCGTTTTAGAGAGAACAGTCCTGTAATGTTTTTTTCTGCTTTGTGTGTACATCCAGGTGAGAAGCCTCATCAGTGCAGCATCTGCTGGCGCTCGTTCTCCCTGAAGGATTACTTAATTAAACATATGGTGACACACACAGGGGTGCGGGCCTACCAGTGCAGCATCTGCAACAAGCGTTTTACCCAGAAGAGCTCTCTCAACGTCCACATGCGGCTGCACCGTGGAGAGAAGTCCTATGAGTGCTACATCTGCAAGAAGAAATTCTCACACAAGACCTTGCTGGAGAGGCACATGGCCCTGCACAGCACAGCCAGCGCCATCACGGGGCTGTCGGCAAGCACGGGCGCCCCGGGCCCAGTCTCCATCCCCATGCCTATGGCCGTCCCCGAGCCCGGAGCTGGAGTGGTGGCCCTCGCCATGCCAGTAAGTGGAGGTGCTGGAGTCGGGGCCGGGGTTGGAACAGGAGTGGGTGTAGCTGCTGAAGCGAGCTGCCAAGAAGGGACCACCTACGTGTGCTCCGTCTGCCCTGCCAAGTTCGACCAAATGGAGCTCTTCAATGACCACATGCGAATGCATGTCTCCGATGGATAAGTACAAACAAGAAAAAAAAACTTCTTTCAAAAAGAATGACAAATACAATGGCACTAGATTTTCCTTTTCTTATTTTGAGGTATGAAGAGTAATGAGTATAGACACTGGCACATTAAGTTTCCCCAAAAAAAGTCTCTTTCTTTTTTGTTATTCTAAAAGAAAAAAAAAGATGGTGGCCTTAAGGTTTAGTAGTTTGATATTGATCTACTGGATGGATCCGAACTACAGGCCTCTAAATGTATGCTTTCCTAAAATACTGATTTATGTGTTGAACACTACCGAAAGGCCTACGAAAGAAACACATACACACAAACACACCTTTAGTGTAGAAGAGTCGGCGTGACTATAAATGAGCAAATATGTTTGTGTTTTTACATGTGTCTGTTTATTTGTTCAAGCGTGTGTGTGTGTGTGTGTGTGTGTGTGTGTGTGTGTGTGTGTGTGTGTGTGTGTGTGTGTGCGCACGCGCGCACTGCCATGAAACAGAAGTCATGGTGGTTGTAAACCCATACTGACCAGTTTGGAAACTATAGATGTCCAAGCTTACTGTGGTATAATTTTCAACAATAACAATAAACAAAACAAAAAAAAAAACCTGAAAAAAATACATCTGGGGTTGGGCTACATATTCCCTCTAAAATACAGATGGTCACAAGATTGCCTTCTTACATCTAAAAAAGGAGAGTACTTAATTTGACACTGGGTTTTATTTATTCCTGTGGTTTTAAGGGATTGTAATGCAGCTGTTGTCAAGGTACCAATCTGAATCATTCTTCTGAGCTGCAACTTCCTGTCAGATGTGATGGGGAGAAGGAGTTCTCATGCTTTAGAGTTCTTATCCATGCATTTTGGTGGTTTACAAAATTTTGGCGTGTTGATGAGACAGTATTTGAGCTAAATAATGTTCTTATTTCTTCTCTGGAGTTTAACACATTTGCATCCACTGCCTCTTCAAATCCTGAAAGACTGTTAAGGCTACAGGACCTCTTCCGCTGCAAAACCTATACAAACACAGGAAGAGCCTTTTTGCTGATATGTATTTTTTTTTGTTTGTTTTTTAGCCTTTTACATTTACAGTCTCGGCAGGCTGGAACATGTGTTTAAACTCCTTCATTATTGCTGCTCCTCAACTTGCACCCGACTGTTATGGGATAGTTATAAAAAAAAAAGAAGAATTTGTCTCTTAAACTATTGAGTAGCCTGCTTAATTTGAATTTCATAATTGAATTAGGATTTAGTCGGGAGGGGTAGGCTAGTTGTTGATTACAACAGTGTTTTGAAATATGGTGTAATTGAATTTGAATTGGACCTAAAAGCGGAAAAATTGCCTCCCTGATCCTTTAACGTCTTTACAATCAGTTTTTTTCTACGACTGCAAAGCTATTTCAGCAGCTGGGAGCTGAATGCATTACGTTCGTGCATTTGGCTCTCCCTAAAGGCTCAAGTAGCATGCAACGTATCTGAAAGGAAGTACAGTCTGAAAGCAAAACAAGCAGCTCCATCAATCAATTACACTGTTTCATGATATACCACAAGTTGCAGATGGACTGTGCAGATGAAAGCATACATTCCTGATTTTTCTAATATTTAAATGCACCACGTATGGAATAGATATGGAGACTTGTGTGTTCAAGTTCATGCATCACATCCCTTTTTTATTGTATTTTTTTGTCCTTCCAAAATAGGTCTCTCACACACACACACACACACACGCATGCACGCACGCACGCACACACACACAACTGCCTGCAACTGCATTGTGAAGGATTTGCTTCTTTAAGTTAGCATAACCTTTCGTAGTTGCACAAGTGGAAGAATAACTAACTGCATACACGCGTCTTTAAAAGACTCGCTGTCCATTCAGAAAAAAGGTGCAACTTTGCACATTTTCTTAAAATGCCTGTGCTTAATGTTTAATCATTTTCCTTAGATGAGCTTCTGTTTTATTCAATTTTAAAGAATTTTTTTATCTTGACTTGGACTGCATTATTTTCTTGCATATATGTTGCACTGCTTAAACCAATAAGTGCACTACTGTTAACAGAGATATAGTTTTAGAAAAATTGATTTTTTTTTTCATTTTTTGGAGGTCACACGAATAGCGTCGTCCCTTCATTCAGTAATTTAGTAACTCTTGGCTTTTGTTATTGCTTGCTTTTACCTACAGCATATATTCTTGTGCTGTCTTAATACAAGCTTTTGTTTTTATTGAGACCATTTGGTGTGCTCACCTGTGTTTGAAATATTTTATGGGTTCAGTTCCCTACAGGACTTTTATCTGATCTTTTTATTTTCAAATTCGAAAGCAGTGCAGACTTTTCCTATGAGAACATATAAGCCAAACATCATGAACAGTGAAACAACAGTAATAATAGTATACAATCTCCCATCCAACCAAGTTGGTGGAGGTAAAATGAATAACTTATAGGATTATTATTAATAATAACACAAATTTAATATGTGTGTGTGTGTGTAAAATAAATGACATGTGCGTTTAAAGGTGGGAGAAGGTGATGGAATGCAGCTTCTGTAGTAACTGTCTTGTACACAGTTGTGTTCCTTCCTTGGTGTTTGTGTGTCTGTGGATGTCTGTGTGTGGTAATTATTAGCCTAATCAAATAGTTGATAAGTGGAATTTCTCAACTGTAGGGCTTCCTTTGCAATATGCAGCACAGGTACTGTGGGAAACAGCTCTCCAAACCTTTTGGGCTAATAAGGCACCTGTAACTTTTTATTCTTTGTTTGTTATTGTTTTTATTTTTTCTGAGAGTCAATCAAAGCTTAGGTCCAGCACCGCGAAATTCAGTTTGGAGAAGCTGAACGTCTCAATGCTTGATGTCCTTAGCTAGTCGTGTGGAGTCAGTTTTAGATAATCAATAAGCACCCAATGGATAAATGTTCAAAAACAAACAAAAAAAAAAGATTTCAAACACTGACCATGCGTAGGGAGACGTGTTAAAAACACGAAGCGAGTCCTCAGTAAAAGTAGCACATTATTGAACATTTGATTGGGCCTGTCTTTATATGGTGTGTATATGAGCCTAAACTGTATGGCTCCTATTCGTAGCTGCTGTTGCCAGGACGGCAATATTGCTGCATGCTAGTGCTATATTTGTCTCTACACAACACGTGGAGGGTAATCTCATGCCTTAACAGACAATGCACTAAAACAGAATATGTAAGCAACTGCCGTGATCATCTTGTTTTTGTTTTCCAACAGTATTGCCACTCGTATGGCACGCAGCTCCTGACGTTTCGTTGTCCCTTCGAGTCGAACACTGCCAAACTAACATCATCACTTCTTAAACTAACAGCAAAGGCAGAGGCGGTGAACCGAACTGCTTCGGTGATTGAGCATTCCACCATGGCACCTGAAATTTGACGCATTTTTTGTGTGAACACGTTTATCAAATGCACTATTTGACTGTAGCTAGATGAGTACAACCATCCTTGTGCTGTCATTGGTCTAAGTAGTAGTAGCTTGATGTTGGTTCTTGAGATGTTTGGTTTCACAATTACACAATCAGATGTTTCTCTATCCCTTTTAATTTTGTTTCAGTTTTAGATAATGAAAGTAGCCAATCTTCATGTGATCCGGATGAGGGCTGAGAACTCGTCCCGTTGTCGGTTGACTTTTTGTATCATAGGGTGTTTGATAGCAGACCAGGCTCGGAAGGGGAAGAACTTTTGCTCCGGTGTGTCATAACGTGCTTTAGCATAGCATTACCCCCATCCCCCCGTTGCATTAGCATCACGTGCTCTTCACTGTCCATAGTTATATATTCCTTAGATTGCTTCAGCTAATTGTGGTGGTGCTTAATTCTTCTCTCGGTTGCAAGAAAATGACAAAAAAATAGTTTAAAGGTGTTGAGACATTATCCAGAGAATAAGTCCTTATCTCAAATTTGTGCTTCTTCTAGTCGTAGGTCTAGACTCTTTATGTTTGCAAAGTGTGCGCATATTTTCCAGAAAAAAAACATGTTGAAAAATAGATGCTGATAGCCTGCAGCTGATTGTGTTGTAGTTTAAATATATTCCTGTTTGTTTTGTTTATCTTAGCGTAGAGACACAGGGTCTAACAATACAATGTTGTCCTTCTTGCAGTAAGTTTAAAAAAGTCATTGTTGAGCTGAATTATTTTAAGGATTCCTCCTGCTTCTCTGGTGGTCATAAATGGTGTTGTTCATAGCTTCGCGTGGCTGGATTAGTCGGTTATTTTTTACAGTGTGCTATGCTTTGCTTTGAGATGAATGGAAGAGAGTAACGGTGAGGGTGGTTTTTGAGCATGTCTTTCAGTCCGTCTCCACACTTTTCTACTTACCTTTTTTTTTTTTACTTAAGTCGTAAAACTCAGAAAACTTCAGAAAACAGCGTTCAGATGACACATTTTTCTGTCCTTCCATGAGTACACATAAGAGTAAAATAGTTCTTACAAATATTCTATATATATTTTGAGTATCGCCATGTCCACACAGATAAAGAATACATTTTTTCAGATAGTTTCATAAAATCGTAACCGCAGCTAGAAGAGTTTTAACCTTGTGGGATATAGGGAGTACGCCTATCAAGTGCCTATCAGTACATACAGCAACTATACAGAATATTCATAGTTTTTCTCTCCTGCGTTGCACAAAAAAACAATATATACACAATGGATTATTAAAAATATACTATTTATACAAGTAGTTGTGAGTGCAGCATCAAAGAACCCTTTAAATTACCTGAAATGTTTTATTCATATACAGTAAAAAATAAAATAAAATAAATGACATCCGCAGCTCTTTTCTGTGTTGTGCTTAGACCATCTGGAGGACTTAAAGATTTAAAATGCAATCACAGCTTCTTTTTCCTTTTCTGTTAAACAATCTGACTTTTTTTTTTTTACTTATTTTTTTATATTTACAGTTCCTGCCATTTGCAAACAAGCCATAAACCGGAATGTGCTGTACACGTGTGAGTGGGGGGGCTGGTGAGCAGCAGGGGGAGACACACTGACAACTGGACGAGGGAACGTTTACACACCTGCCTCTCACAATGAAAGAAAATCCCGGTTTAATCCGTGGGTTTTTATTTATTTTTCTGGAACGCCTTTGTTGGTAAATAATGCCATTTTGCAGATTAAAGCAGCGTCTTTAAAGCCAGCAGGAGTTCCCTCGGCTGAGTGTGAAGGTTTGCAGGTCTGTAGGAGCTGCTTGTAGCTGGTTTCAAAGTATGCTTTGATAAAAGACCTTTAACACGTGCAAACCAACCCCCCAGTTCCCCCACAATGATTATTTAAGACGGTCAGGTTGTTTTGTTTTTTTAATCTACAACCTAAAGTAAGAAAGGCCATGCAGTGAGAAATGTGGAAAATTAAATCAGTGCTAAAGTAGCTGAAATTTTAAATCACCTCGTGAAAACGAAAAAAAAAAAAATACATTTCTGGCGACAGATAAACAGCGTTACTCTTTGCACAGCGGTCCTCAACTGGTTGGATGAACAGCATGGAAACAAAAAATTATGGAAGAATAAAATAAAATAAAACATAAATCAAGTTACAGAACTGAGTTACTGCCAGATAAAAAGATTTTGGAAAGACTTATTATTCCGTCCCCTGTGGACTAATTACCACAGTTTTCTCTCTAACCTTCTCCAACTTAGTGGCTGTGCCAGGTTTCGGGGAGGGGTGTGTTTTTAAATTATACCATCAATGTTAAATTAAAAGTGAGAAACAGAGAAGCAGGAAGGACGGATCCTTCTTCACGGGTTTTCATTTAAATTTCAGAAGTCGTGTGAAACCAAAAGCGAGTGATTGGCTTCATTTTGAATCTTCAAATCCTCTTTAATGCATCAGTTAGAAGTAAATAGGAGAAAACAGTTTCATAGACTTGTAGTGTTAAAGTGCAGCGTTTAAATAATATAGGCAATGTGATATAGCTATCCCTGTCATCCAGAGCAGCATCTGTTCAGGTTGTGTCCAGATCCTGTTTTCATTTTGAGCTTTACAAACAGTCGAGCAGCAGATTTTTTAAGTTCGAAACAGCCAAACTAAGCTACAACATCTAGTTTTATTCACAACAATGCAGTTATTACACCAGGTTTGATTCATCACCAGACCAAATCTAGTCCCATTTAGTCACCGGAGGAGAGCACAAACTCTATTTCCTCGTTAACTCTTCTTCATCCCACCGACGAGGGGACTCTGGCGTGTTTTAGCCTCCAAAGACTAAACACGCAGCCTTTTTGTGTTCTCAAGTCACTGCCGACTCCTTGGCGTAGTTCATTGTGATGGGACAATTTAAAGTGTGCAACAGCGTGATTAAAAAAACAACAACATGCATTCCTGCTTGAGTCCAGCACATTCCAACTTCTCGTCTGGAATTAGATTTCTACGCTTAATTAGTGATAATATCACATCAAATCTCTCATGGCTTTGTACAAATCTGTTGCTTGTTTCCTCATGTAACCATCATGTCACAAATCATCTTCAAGTACAGGAAGATCCCCTTAAGAATCATATCAGTGGGTTTCCACTGTTCGAAGCTCTGAGCACAGCTGATTATTCCAGTGTGGACTGGTTTTACGGGCCGTCACGCCACCGCTCTGACTGGCTTACTCTCACAGAACAGAGACACGCGTTAAAAAAATCAAATTACCTAAAGAGCCAAAACGAAAAGTCAAGGCTCTCATCGCCATGACGATTACTCAGCCAACAATGCAGACTTCGGTTAGAGATGTTAGCGCATCTGTATGAAAGGTTGTAAAATGCTAATGTTAAAAAAAATCACACAGAACACACACACATACACACACACACAGCTGTATTAGACAATGTTTGTTTTTACAAACCAAAGAAGGGTTAAAATGATTTGAGTTTTTTGGAGAAATGAGTTTTTATTGTGCGTGTGGGGTTTTCTGCAATCGGGCTCGATTGCTGTAATTTTAGTTTTCTTCTTCTTCTCTTGGCAGGGTGCTTGTGAAACGGCGTATGTGCTTTGTCACCTGATTGGTTGTTTATAGTTTTGTGGTTGTGTTCATTTGCCTATCGTAGACCAAAATAGAATTTTTCTTTTTTATATGAAATGCAACAAAACACACAACAAAAAAAGGAATCTGACACAGTAGCTGTGATGTAAACTATGGCGTGTTCTAACGTGTAAGATTGTCCCTCTGACAAAATCCAATCATTTGTCTAACACACACATTAATGGAAACCCTTCTACATCTTTTTATTTCCTTTTTTGTGGGATTACTGTAAACTAGTCTGATTTTTACAGCAGGTTTCTTTAAATATTGGCACTGTCGAGTATTTATAATCTGTCCCTAAAGTACTAATCTGACATTGTGGCTTAAAATCCTTTCAGCCATTTATTTTTTACTTGAGATGGACCAAGATTTAAAAGTTTGCACATTATTTGTAGGTTTTCTATTGAAGCCAAAAAAGTAAAAGCAACACACAATTTTCAATCTCAACGGTTTAACAAGTCAACTTTCTCAAAGGCAAAAGAAATCAACAGAGCCACCCATCAATATGTTACCAAAACCAAATTCAAGATGGATTCAACCATCATAATATAAACCCAAAAAGCATTTTTTACCAAGTGATTTTTTGTATGGACACTCATATTTTTCGAGAAGAATGTAAAGCTTTGGACAAATTAGCATATTTGGCTGCAGAAAATATTTTATCTCTGTTAAGTTTTAACTCTTGGTAACTGCTGTATTCAGTAAATCACGTGGTTCTCAAACGGGGAGTTAAATTACTGTAAGCACAGCAATGTTTTATAGAAGATGAAAAAATGACTAAAACATTGTACCACTTCATACAGTATACCCAAAAAACAAAAACAGTTTCTCCTTTTCTTTTTACATCGGGCTTTTTGCTGCCATATCATGTATGTAGATGCTTTTGTACACATGCACTTGAGTTTAACTTTGAGATGTGCTTATGAATATGTGTGTATATTTTGTTTTCTGGCTTATGTTAGCTTGATATTTGAATATTTCCCCACAAATTACTACTTGGATTTGAATCTGAACGTGGCAGAAGTGGAGCTGTTGTAGTCAAAAGGTAGTTTAAACATCCAAACTAAGCAACCCTGAAATGTATGCTGCAGTAATGTGTGTTCAGTTTATTTTTTATAATTTATGCTCCAAGTTGGTTTGTATTTTATTATTATTATATTATTATTATTATTGTTCGTACGAAATGAAACAAGCTTGTTTGAAATGTGTTGACTGCTGTTTTGAAATAGGGGATAAAGTTAGTTTTTAGGTATGCGCAAGGACGTTTTTTTTTTAATAATATGATTTGTCAAACACTGGACTGGAGTGAGTTTTCCAACATTTCCAAGCTGAGAGATGTATTTGACAAACGTAACTGCACAGATGACGCCCGTTAGCCCATTAGCCCGTTAGCATAGATGTGAGCTTCGCCTGTTTACTGGAGAGGGTGACACTTGAATGCCGCTGTCCTCCCGTTCAAAATAGGAGCCGTTAGAATGTCAAAAGTAAAGGTTAAGACGTTGATTTGTGCTGGTTATTTGTGTTGTGATGGGTTATTTCCATCCATCCATCCCTGGACAGAGTGCCAGTCCATCGCAGGGCAACAGAGACACACAGGACAAACAATCACACACACTCACACCTAAGGACAATGTACACAGACCAATCAACCATATGGGCCATTCCCATCTGTACCGGGTCGGCCCGGGCCGGGTAGCCCCAGTCGGCCCCAGTCGGCCCCAGCCTGGCCCGGTTGATTCCACACATCCTTGTCTTAAGCCCATGTGGGCTGATTCTACCCACCAATCAGAGGCTTGCTCTAATGGAAGGTGTGAATTTGCTGTCAGCAGTGGGTGTGTTGGCCCTGGTCGGCCTGAAGCAGACCCCCTCGAGAAGAGGGCTGAGAATGAGCCTTGGTTGGCCCGGGAAAATGCCAGGCCACCCAGATATGTAAACAACCTACGCTACCCGGCCCGGGCCAACCCGGTACAGATAGGAATGGCCCATAACAGTCATGTTTTTGGACTGTGGGAGGAAGCCGGAGTACCCAGAGAGAACCCACGCATTCACAGGGAGAACATGCAAACTCCATGCAGAAAGATACCAGGCTGGGAAGCGAACCCAAGACCTTCGTGCTGCAAGGCAACAGCTCTAACCACTGTGCCACTGCGCAGCCCTGATGGGTTATTTATGATAGGAAATATTTATTAGGAGGTTTCCTTCCAAATTGTTGCACGACATAGACTAGTGACGTTTTTTTTTTTTTTTTTTTTTTTTTTTTTACAAAAGAACGAGTGCTTTTTTGAGTCTTCGTAAAGGGACACCACTTCATAAATAAAACTAGCTAACAAACATTAGAGCAGATTGTTTCATCAGACCAAACACCACTTATCAAACCAGAAAAGAGATTTGCACTAGACTGATTTTGGTCTTCTTCTATCAAAAGCAATATGATCAACTACTCATTTCTGAACCATAGAATCGCACGTTTGTCACCTGAAGTGCGAATGGCGATATTTGACTTTTTGTTTTCATAGGTACAGAATGTGTTGCCTTTCGAGGTGCACATCCACATGTTGTTTGTAGCAGGGTTTTTATTATTGATTTTTTTTTACCCAGCACTATCCCAAGTATTATTGTCCATGACTGAGTGGCATTAAAACAGTTGTTTCCTCCTCCTGTGATTATTTTGGACAAACCACACAGCTCTTGCAGAGATCCTAAGTGGGGAGACGGGATGTGAGGAAAAAGAATCATTCACAATGAGTCAGTGTCAGTCGTCTGCATCACACAGGCTCGAAACGAAACTAAAAACCAAAATCTAAAACCCAGCCTACACCCTTCTCTTTTAGAAGCACGGATCCTAGATTTTTGCATATTTGGTCACTTTGAGTGCTTTTTGTTTCCACTAAGATGCTGCAAATTTACAAAAAAACATGCTTTAAAGTAAATCAGTAATATCTCTACACACATCATTTGGCTTTTTGTCTACCAAAATGTATGAAATCGTCTACAACGGCCAATAATTTTGTCACAATTTTGTTGACGTGTCAATTTTTCAATAACTCACACACACACACAGCAAAACTTCACCATTCTATCTGGATGTAGTGGCTTTTCCTGTTTTCTCCGCTTTGTGGTGTTGTTGAAAGATGTTGCGGTTTGACTAAATATGTTGCGTGTTAGAGGAAGCATATAAGTATGTGCCTTCTTGTTATCTCCTTGGTGAGCTTGTTATTATTGAGATGCTGAAGCCAGCCAATTGTGTTTGCACTAAAACCAAATTGCTTTTTTTGTGATGTTAGACTATTTAAGCAAGCTTGTTGCGTCACTTTAACCGTACAGTATGCATGAGGGTGAAATTTGGTAAGTCTAGGGCTAGAGCTCTCATCTGTTGATCTGTAAAACCAGTGCAGCTTAGAGGATCTTGTGAATATATCTCGGCTTAGTTTCACGTTTAGTTTTCAAGTCCATCTCCTTACACATCCACTTTTATTGTTTGTTGTTGTTTTATTTTTATTTTTTACAATTTCAGCAGTAAAATCACATAAAACCTGAAAAAAATCAAATCACATATACCATGAATACAGCTTTTACTTTCACATGCCACAGTTTGAGTTACATAACTGCAGAAAATATCTTCTTTTCCAAATCCATGGGAATGCATGAGTATACGAGGTCGCCTCAAGACTCTTGGTCCAATTTTTGTAGGTATTTTGCTAAATTTGAACACAGTTTTTCAGCAGCATCTAAAAAAGGCCTACATGTCTTACAGTAGCACCTTATTCATGTCAGTCCACATTTGGTAAAACAACAATAAAAACATGCTGGCAGTTTAATATCGCGGATTTAGCACCTTACTACACAGCATGTTTTCACTTTATGCCAGTTTAGTTCCACTTCCATATGTACGATTTCAAACTAAATCTCATATTTTGTGAAACAGTTTTTAAGGGACGTGCCAAAGTTTGGAGGCGATCTCTCGAGTGTTTATGCGCATCATTTTCCTTTCCACCTTCAGTTATACCAACCGTATGTCGAAACTTTCCTATAAACAGTGTGTGGAAATCAATTTATCTCAGCAAACAGTATCATTACTTGCCATTTTACAATAAGCCCTGTATTTCACATATATTTACCAGTGATGTGTATTTGTTATTATAAAAGAAAATAGCCGTAAAAGCTTCATTATGTTACATAATATTGTGACTTTTTTCGAAAAACTGTGAAGACTTATCTTGCATATACTTTATAAAGAAGTATTAAGCCTTAATACAAAAGACTAAAAAAAGTGTGGAAGAATAAACTGATTGTTGCTAAGTAAGGATGATTTTTGTAAATGTTACCAGCACTTTTTTTGTAATTTTCACTCTGAGGTATTGTACAAGTTCAAGCTGTTTGTGAAGTTTGATTATGAAGGAATAAAAACTAGTACTTTCCTGTACTTCACAGAACGTCTTGTTGCTTTTTTCTTTTTGTCTTCAGTCTCTTCTCACGTACTGATGCTGTTGTGACGCATTGACGTCACACCAGTGACGTGTAGAGATTTCTAACAATAGAATAGAAGAGCTATCGTCAGAGCGGAGACAAATGTTATAGCAGCAAAGCTGTCATTTCTACATGACATGGTTATTTACAACAAAAAACTGTTATTCGTAGCAGAAATGAGGTAGCGGCAGCACTTCCTGCTCAAAGGACAACTCTTCCTGTTGGATTTTTGAAATTATTAAAACAGACAACCATGTAAAATTTTGTAACTTAACTCAAAGATAAACTGCTATGAGACGTTAGCCTGGCAAGTCATCCTGTTAAAGAGAGAGCACAAAAATAGGACATCCTAGATCTGAATGAATGAAATATTCTTATTAAATACTTTGTTCCATACCATACCATAGTTTATTCATTTAGCACGTTTAAAACGCAGCATGGGAGCTGCCCAAAGTGCTGCACAGGCTGGACCAAAACACGACCAATCTTAGCAACTAAAACAGAAGATAAAAATACTGATCAAAAGCAGATAAAACATGAGGAATACTAAGAACAATAAAACACTAAAACGAGTCACTGTCTAAAAGCCGCATCGTAGAAGTGGGTCTTTAAACGAGATTTAAAAACCGCCAATGATGGAGCCTGTCGGACTATAATGGGTAGAGACTTCCACAGCTGTGGGGCAGCATGTACAAATGCTCATTCACCCCGTGGTTTGTAACGCATCCGAGGCGTGCAAAGCAGCAGGAGGTCAGCCGACCTCAACGTGCGCGTGGGTACATAGGGAGTGAGCAGGTCAGAGAGATAGGGAGGTGCCAGGTCGTTGAGCGTTGTGCTTTAAAGACAAAAGTCAATAACTTAAACTGTTCTTTACATAGTTGAATGGGCTGACAATAAAATCACACAAAATGTATCTATGGAAATCTAATTTATCAACCCATGGAGGTCTGGATTTGGAGTCACACTCAAAATTAAAGTGGAAAAACTCACTACAAGCTTTATCCAACTTTGATGTGATGTCCTTAAAACAAGTCAGGATGAGGCTTCATGTGTGTGGCCTTCATGTGCCTGCAGAAGAAGAAACCATCTTCTAAATAGCACCACGCAAGATAAATATGAGGAACATCACAAGAACAAAATCTTTAAATAATTGAAAAAGTATTAATATTGTGAATTGGAAAAGGAAAGAGAAAATGGTTATCAGTGGATCCCAGGAAAGGCGGAAATGGTAGAAAGCAGAATAAGGAGAGGGTGGTGATGAAGGTCATACAAAAGCCAGCTTGAGTTTTCAGCTGCTTTTTAAAGGAGACCACTGAGTCCACTGATCTCAGGCTCAGGGGGAGAGGGGTCCAGAGTCTGGGGGCCACAGCAGCAAATGATCTGTCACCCTTGGTGTTTAGCCTGGTGCTGCACAACCAGTAGGCTTTGGTCACTGGACCTCAGGGACCTGCTGGGGGTGTAGGGACTTAAGATCACCAATGTAAGATGGTGCTTGTCCATGTAAGGCCCTATAGACCAGAACCAGGATCTTGAAATTAACCCTGAAGTTGACTGGCAGCCAATGAAGCTGGAGGAGAAGCAGGGTGATGTTGGTGTGTTTGGAGGACTTGGTCAGAAGCCGAGCACAGGCATTCTGAACCACCTGTAGACGGTTCTGGGAGGCTTTGCTCAGACACGTGAAAAGAGAGTTACAGTAGTCTAAGCGTGAGGAGATGAAGGTGTGGAGAACTGTCTCAAGTTCAGAGCATGATAGAATTGGACTCAGCTTTGCAACGTTCCTTAGATGGAAGAAGGAAGAGCGAAAACTGTATGACCTTCCTACAATACCTGGGCATGCTTCTGATGAGGTGGAAGATGATCTCCTAATGGATCTCCTAGACCTGGACTACAGCAACTGCCAACTCCTAGACAGTCTGTGGTGCAACATTTGGTGGATGGAGCGAGCCGCGATGTCCCAGATGTGCTCAATTGCCACACTCCAGCCACAATAGGTCTAGCTTTGTCTTGCATTAGGAGAAACCCAGGGCCAACCGCACCAGCATATGGTCTCACAAGGGGTCTGAGGATCTCAGTACCTAATGGCAGTCAGGCTTCCTCTAGCGAGGACATGGACATGTGGCGCCCAAAAGAAATGCCACCCCACACAATTACTGACGCTCTGCAAAACCAGTTATGCTGGAGGATGTTGCAGGCAGCTGAACGTTTTCCACGGCGTCTTCAGACTCTGTCACGTCTGTCACATGTGCTCAGTATGAACCTGCTTTAATCTGTGAAGAGCACAGGGCACCAGTTGAGAATTTGCTAATTTTGGTATTCTCTGGCAAATGCCAAGTGTCGTGCACGATGTTGGGCTGTAAGCACAACTCCCACCTCTGGCCCTCATACCACCCTCATGGAGTCCGTTTCTGACTGAGCAGACACGTGCACATTTGTGACCCGCTGGAGGTCATTTTGCAGGACTCTGGCAGTGCTCCCCCTGTTCCTCCTTGCACAGAGGCAGAGGTTGCGATCCTGCTGGGTTGTTGCCCTCCACGTCTCCTGATATACTGGCCTGTCTCCTGGTAGTGCTTCCTTGCTCTGGAGTGTAAAGCATTGAGTGAAAGCACAGCCAGCATTCAAAAGTGACCAAAACATCAGCCAACAAGCACAGGAACTGAGAAGGGGTCTGTGGTCACCACCTGCAGATCCACTCCATTATTGGGGATGGCTTGCTAAATGTCTATAATGTCCACCTGTTGTCTGTTCCATTTGAACAATAGCAGTGAAATTGATTGTGTTGCGTCCTAAGTGGACTGTATGATTTCATAGAAGAGTGATTGACTTGGAGTTGCACTGTGTTGTTTAAGTGTTCCTTTTATATTTTTGTGCAGTGTATGTAAATATACAGTCTGGCCAGTGCTAGGACCAATCAGAACAACAGGACATGCTTAGACCAGCTCAGTGGCTTAGTGCCCTAGTGTCCGCCCTGAGACCAGGAGATTGAGGGTTCAAATTCACAGTTGGGTCATGCCAAAGACTTAAAAGAAACTGGACTCAGTGCCTCCCTGCTTGACACTCAGCATCAAGTGGTTGGATTGGGGGGTTAAACCACCAAATGGTTCCCAAGCATGGCTGTGTCTGCAGCTCACCACTCCCCCAGGGTCAAATGCAAACAAATTTTACACACTTGTGTGACTTTCACTTCACTCATCAGTATGGAAATCAGTCAATAGGGAGTCTGCCATACACCATCAAAGACGAAGAAGCAAATGCATCCTTTTTCACAATACAGGACTTAAGTATCGGCTCATGTCTCTAAAGCCTGAGTCATGTTTCTCCGTCAGCTCCAAAAAGGAGAGACACGCACGCACGGACGGAGACATTTAGCCCTCATACTTCTCCGTCTCCTGGGGAGTGTTGTAAAGCAATTCCCCGCCAGGACCACAGAGGGCGTAGTGCTGTTCTGTGGTATCCTGTCATGTATCCGGTCCAAGATAGTGTGCTTATATTGTGTTTTTTTGTATATAAGAAACTTTTTAGCACGGACAAATTTGTCTCTCATTCTCCTCCACCTCTTCATGTGCTCGTGACGTCTAAACCCACGTTTCCTGTCATTTCCGTCCACAAATAAAATGCTTGCTGCGCAACTTTTCTCTCCTCCAGTCACGGGGGAATTAAACGTTCATATTTTTAGAGTTTTTTCCCGAGGTATTCTTCAAGCTTCTTCATGTCTCCCGCTAGTTATCCTCGGCTCTCTTTATGTTTTTGAGGGCGCAATGGCGGCGGTGTAGACGACAGCGGTGCCCTGACCAATCACAAGCTTGCGTTCTCCGTCTCGACGGACGGATGTTTAGAAAAGAGAGCTCGGCTCCGTCCGTTCTTGCGGGGGCTCTCCAGCAGGCCCACAAGGACGGATAATGGCGTTGCGTGCCTCCGCACTGACGCAGAAGCATGACTCAGGCTTAAGAAACGCCCAAATCTAAATGTTCCAAAGCCGTCTCAAACAAGAGATGTTCCCGAGCCGATGCCATGCTTGTTGTTTTTCTCTGTCACAGCTCTTGCAAGACCATCCGACAAACCTCTACAAACAGAGCGCCGTGATTGGCCCAACATTGAATTGTTTGAGCCAATGGTAGACCTGCTGAGGATACAATGGAGCGTGTCTAGACCTACCTGCTACGGTTTGTCTAGATTTCTAGGTTAATGAAATGTTTGAGATTACATTTGTTTTAGGTGATAGAAATCCACTGATTAGCCATTAGCTTGTCAGTTGTAATCTATTTCTATAAACTTAGGTTGTTCATAGAGGTATTTAAAACAGATATGAAAGATTCACCGAAACCCACTTTCCTTCATGCCTGTCCAAAAAGGCTTTCACGTGAGATTCATGAAACCACAAAAGCTTCAAGTTCAGAACGATGAAGACGCTCGTTGCTAAAACTGAGTCTGATAGTTGCCTGGTGGGTAAATACAGTGGAATGACAGGCTGGAATGTATCCCAGAATGCACAGAGCAGAAGGCAGGAAACACCCTGGACGAGCTGCCAGCAAGTTACAAACCTACAAATGACTAATACCCGAGTCATTCTTTAATTCACACCTACGTGCACTCCAAGCACGCAGATTCACAAGTGTTTGAACTGTGGGAGGAGACCGATACGGGCGGCGTAGAGGCTTCACACAGGAAAAAAGCAGGAGTGGGTGTGAAGTTCTGCTGTGAGGCTTTACACTACGACACCCAGCTGCTGACAGATCATAAATAAAATCCACAAAAGGGAAAAAAATTCAAACATTTCTCACAGGAAAACTGATCTGTTCAAAATGAAGAAGAACTTTTCAGCAAAAGAGAAGCTGGATCCAAAAGTGCCATCATATAAAAATGCCCCTCAACCTTTATCAGAAAAGAACATGTTTGAAAGCTCTATACTGATAAGCTCCGATCGCATTTATTAAATTGAATTAGTCTTACATAATTAAAATTTCTTTGATCCCTTTTAGAAATGATTAATTCACCTTTTCTAAACAATTAAAAAACAAATATTGAAAAATGACTGCAAAGAAGAAGAAAGTATCATTGCTATAGCGCCTTTCAAGATAAAAATCACGAGGCGCTTCACAAAAAAAAAAAAAAAAAAAAAGTAAAAATATAAAAAATCATTTAGAAAATGTTTAAAAAATATTTAAAATGAGCAAAAATAGGCAATTGGGATTTAAAAGAAAAAATGTTAAGAAAGAGAGAGAGTGAATGGGAAAGAGGGAAATCAGTGGATCCTGAGGAAGGTGGAATAGGTGGGGAGAGCAGAATAAAGAGAGAGGTGAAGAAGGTCATACAAAAGCCAGCTTGAACAGGTGAGTCTTCAGCTGCTTTTTGAAGGAGACCACTGAGTCCACTGATCTCAGGCTCAGGGGGAGAGAGTTCCAGAGTCTGGGGGCCACAGCAGCAAATGATCTGTCACCTTTAGTCTTTAGCCTGGTGCTGCACAACCAGTAGGCTTTGATCACTGGACCTCAGGGACCTGCTGGGGGTGTAGGGACTAAGAAGATCACCAATGTAAGATGGTGCTTGTCCATGTAAGGCCCTATAGACCAGAACCAGGATCTTGAAATGAACCCTGAAGTTGACTGGCAGCCAGTGAAGCCGTCCAAGAGTGTCATTACTCCTGGAAACGTCAATAAATGAAAACATTCTCATGCATTATTATTTTTTGATGAGAGTGAGTTTCATTTTTTATTTGGGATCTCAATTGCAATAATTTAGAGGAAGAACTTGTTCTGGTTTTTAAGTTTAGTGTCAGCAAACTAAAACAGTTCAGTTTTGGATTAAGAATCGATATTAGAATAAACTAACATATCAATGAAATAAACGTTTGTTATGACTAAAATAGCCTTTTAATATTTCTGAATGTTTTATTCCCACAGAGGGACTAACTTGTCCCACAGCAGCAGCTGGAAATGATCATTTAAATTCAATTCAATTCAAATCCAAAATTACTTTATTAATCCCAGAGGGAAATTGATTGCTGTAGTAGCTCAGAATAATAATAATAATCAAGTCATCAAAGAGTTGTTGTATATTACAATGGCTGTTGGCAGGAAGGATCTCCAGTAGCGGTCAGTGTTGCAGCGAAACTGAAGAAGCCTCTGACTGAAGACACTCTTCCGTTGTCGGACAGTCTTGTGAAGAGAATGCTCAGGGTTGTCCATCATTTTCTTGATTCTCTGGAGAATCCTTCTTTGCATTATCTCCTCCAGTGGTTCCACTGTCGTCCCCAGAACAGAACCAGCCTTTTTTATTAGGCTGTTGAGCCTTTTCAGGTCCCTGCTTCTGATATGCTGCTACCCCAACAGACGATGGCTGAAGAGATTACACTCTCAACAACAGACTTGTAGAAGATCTGCAGCATCTTGCTACAGACATTGAAGGACCTAAGCGTTCTCAAGAAGTGCAGTCTGCTGTGTCCATTCTTGTAAACATTTGGTTAAGGTAAAGATTTGGCTGTTAAGCATTTGGTTGCTGTGTGTCTTAAAACCATGAGTTTATTAGAGGTTAATTAGTTTTAGTTACGGTCTAATATCATTTTTCTTATGGCTCCTAATTGTGTGAGGCATGTTTATTTGTGCTGAGACAAATAGAAATATTTCACACTCTAAAATGTGGAATTCTGTGCGGGTACAAAAAATAAAAAACCTCCAAGAAAAGGATACATCTGCTGATTACCAAGTCAGTATGAATAATTTTTGCCTTTTCTTTTCTGTAAGATTCCAGGGACACAATGAGATTTGCTGTATAAAAGGTAAGTGAATAGTTGTGAAGTGTCTAAGCCATTCATCACACTTTCTTATAATGAACACAAATTCTTTCAGGTAAATTCTTTAGATGAATTTGATTTTTTCTTTTTAAATACATTTATGTCGAAATCCTGTTTTAAAAGGTTTGTGAAGCTTTTCTGCCTTTGTGTGACGAGACACCAGGAGAGGCTGGTGGAGAAGCCGGTTCAGTGTTCGTATGGTTCTGAGTTCTGCAGCACCAGAGCATCTTCTCAGCTGGGATTTAACTTGGTTACAGTGGAGAGGCCTCGTGACCCAGTGGTGACCTCTGAGAAAGTCAAAAACACACCAGCAAGCTGGACTACTGGTGCTTTTGGGCTATTAAAAGAGAAATCTGAGAGGTGATTTTAACACTTTGCTACTCAAACTAAAACAAAGTTAAAAATGACCATATCACTTCCCACCATCAGTAAAAAATAAACCATCGGGCTCCATCTGCTGAGCTGACCTTAATATCTCAGTTTATACCACAAAATCTGGATTTTCTTGTAAATAAATTCTACATGACCCTTGACGAAAACTCCTTTGGCAGATCACTTACTTTTTTCCTCCATTCTAATTCTCCACACTGGTGTTTTTAAATCACTCGTCGGCTCTCGTCCTTCTCTTGAAGTAGTTTTTTTTTCCATTCAAGACTGGAGCGTGATCCGACTTTGTCCTCTGTGGGTGAAAATGTTCATCCTTTCACTGAAGTGACATCCTCACGGACACATCTAACCAATAAAATCAGATAAGTGATTACATATGCACCTATTCATCACGGGTCCTCGTTTGTGTGGCTGTAATCTGAAGCATCTATGAACACATGAGGCTTGCCTCCCTTGCTCATATTCTTTTGAATAACATTTATTTTAAAGTTTGTCTGAGGTTCACACCTGGTGGTTCCACTTTCTTTCCTCTGGTGCCACCTACTGGGCAGTTGGGTTCATGTTGCAGCAGAATGGACTAAAACCACAGAAAATTTAAAGAACTAATGACTTCAGCAAAAACTAATCTGCAGCAGTTCTCAATTCTGGTCCTTGAGGGCCAGTATCCAGCATGTTTTCATTGTGCCTCTGCTCCAACACACTTGATCAGCAGCTCATCTGGTTCTGCAGGCCATTTAGCACCGGCTGATTAAAATCAGGTGTGTTGAAGCAGAGAAACAACCAGAGTATGCTGGATTCTGGCCCTCCAGGACCAGGATTGAAAACCCCTGATCTTCAGGGTGGTTTTCTCCCCTTCAGTGCTACTGATAGTCTGTAACCATGCTAATGCTAGTCTTAAGGTGAGAAATTCTTTCAGCAAATCTCCCCAAGTACGCATCAGCAGCTCTCTCCAGTCTCACGTACGAAACAGTCGTTTGTAGCGGAGTCCTCACTTAACATTTAAGGTGGTTTATCGAGTTCATAGGGAACATACACACACACTATCCTAGGGAGTGATAACAGTCAAATCAGAAAGGCTCAGTAAGAGCTTAGCGTGAGTAAATATAGCAGTTGGGCCTAATCCTCTGCATTATCCAGTGTGCTCATCATGCTATGACAGTGGACGAAACAGTTCATAAGGCATTAAGGTTGTTCCCCAGAATAGATTTATTCACGTTGGGACCAGACAGACCTAGTGAATGACACAAGGAGGTATTCATATTTGTTTATGAGGAATGACATTGGTAAAGAGGGTGTGGAACGTTTTAAAATCAAAGATGCACAACGCACAGCCATTTCTCACGGCTACTGGTGAGGTGCTAATTTGTTCCCATAAATAAGGCAGAATGCAAAGTCCATAGAAATGGAAAGTTAATACATTTAGCCAAATTGGACAGTGATGTGACATGAAGACTTAGATGTATTTCTTCATCTCATCGTACAACACCAGCACAAAGGCCCCACCCATGCCTCTGAGCACGTTGGACCAGGCTCCCTTGAAGAAAGCCTTGCCACCTTCGTCGCGTGCAATCTTGCGCCAGCAGTCAATGGTCCCACTGTACATGATGTCGGCTGAAGGAAAAACAAAAAAACAAGTTAGACAAAATAATGAATGCATTTAACTTCTATCTCAGTAGAAGCACGCTACGAACCACAAACATTCCAAAAGGTTACAAACTCACCTCCTTTGCGTCCGGACTGCATCATCATGCGTCTACGAACAGTATCGAAGGGGTATGAAGTCAGGCCAGCAACAGCCGTTACAGTCTGTGCGATCATCCAGCTCACCAGTATGTGTGTGTTCTTGGGGTCTGGAAGCATACCTGTAAACACAGGAGAGGAAACACTCTAAACACCCAGAAACTACAGACTAGTCCACCAGAGGCTAGCCAGCGTGACACCAACATACCCTTAGCCGTGTCATAGATGCCGAAGTATGCTGCCCTGTAGATGATGATGCCCTGCACTGACACGTTGAAGCCTTGGTACAACCCTTTCAGACCATCAGACCTAAAGATCTTCACCAGGCAGTCACCCAGACCCTTGAATTCTCGCTCCTGTCCTGCCTTTCCCACGTCCGCTGCCAGACGGGTACGGGCAAAGTCGAGGGGGTACACGAAACAGAGAGAGGTGGCTCCAGCGGCGCCACCGGAGGCAAGGTTACCAGCAAAGTACCTCCAGAACTGGGCGCGCTTGTCAACACCATCAAGGAAGATCTTCTTGTACTTGTCTTTGAAGGCAAAGTTGAGGGCCTGGGTGGGGAAGTATCTGATGACATTGGCGAGGTTACCTCTCCAGAAGGACAGGAATCCCTGCTCCCTGGGGATACGGACAACGCAGTCCATGATACCTTTATACTGCTTGTCTACGGTGATCTGTTTGCTGGCATGCTGGACCTGAAATGAAAAATAAAGAATAAACCATGGCATCAACAAAAAGAAAAGGACAGCCAATCAACAGGTGGGCACACGACACTGTCCTTTTGACGTGACCTTTACCGCAGTAACAAGCAGTAAAAGTTGTTGAAAAGTCCACGACTGTGCTCCTAATCAGAGCTATCAGTGTTTATTGGCAATCACCGATGAGGATGGGGCTTCAGTGTAGGACTAAAAAATGTTTTTCCTATGTCCTTTTCACAAGAATAATTATTTATTTTATTCATTTATTAGTAGTTAAAACTCAACAGATAACGTGTCTAAACTTAGATTTTTTCCAACTATTAGTTTTAGTTTCATGTACTGACGCTGTCCTAGTTACTGTAGAGTGAACGAATGCTGTCCATTAGAATTAACTAATAAACCAGGTCACTTATTAGAGAAACAAGCAAACCACATAGCTGTAAACCTCACTGATCCTTTCCCTTAAAGTCTTTCACTTTTAGACACGTTCATGTTTCACGTATGTTGTAAAGAATACGAGCTGAAGCACTTATCAGAAATAGGCGACTTAAATCAAAAGAACTAGCATAAGCTAACCCACACTTGTCCAGAACTAAACGAGACAAAAAGTACTAATAGAGTTAGTTTAGTGTTGACAGGATCAATAAATAACGCGTTCCAACTCTGCATCACTTATCAGTCTGAAGCGGAAAGGGATGTAGCACTGGTTGACCCGGCCTTTCATCTTTAACCGGTACATTAGCCTCCACTGTGATTAAGTAGTTAAAATGAAGACGAAACGGTACATACAACGTTGTTTTATAACTCCAAGCAAAATGTATGAGCTTTAAATAAACTGACCGGGTCACAACCGGTTTGAACAAAGTGTACCAACGTCTCTAAATGTGTTTGTCCTTTGTTAGCAGCCGGGCTCCTGTAGGTCATTTAGCCTTCTATGATGACCTCAAATCTTTTAATTCAACAATATTTTTTAATACCTAACTTTTCTTATCTAGCAGCATTAATTAAGGAAACACGGTAACCTCTGAGCCGGTGGATGTGTCAGTAAAGCACGCAGCGACCCATAGGGCGTTCTTTAGCGACTAGCCGGCTAACGCTGGGAACCTTCCGGAAGTTTTACCTGAAGGAGAAGCTTCACTCTCTCAATCGGGGCGACGGCTGTTTTAGAAATGGCAGCGGAAATGCCGCCAGCCAAGAAGTCCTTAGCGAAAGAAATGGCCTGTTCACTCATGTTGCGATGTTCTTGATGTGCCTTTCAGGTAACCAGTATACACGCTGTATCCCCACTGCCCTTTATGGCTGATGGCCTGCACCGACGAAATGGCCGATTCTGAAGCCGCGTATAGGATTTATCTAACGGGACACATCGCGATAATAAACGGGATGTCCTTCAGTAGCTTATTGGCTAATTTCTCAACGTCACGAGCTTCTCCACCAATACATTGCTTAGGTCGTTATGGCGTCACTTCTCCTTTTCCCTGCCTCAAGCTAATATAACACGTGAAATGACTCACGAGTCAGACCAGAAATGGACCAACTTGTCCTGAATCAGTTTTCCGTTCAGAATGACGCATATATAAAAGGAAGCGCTCTCTCAACAAATACAGATTTGTTTTCTGCTGTATTTTAAAACTTTATCAACAAAAAATGAACAATAACAAAAATTCCAATAACTATTAAAAATTACAAATCTTTAAATAAAGTCACACCTCCAACCCATGGACGTAGTTTTGACTTTAGAAGTGGAGGCGCAACTGGCATGGGGGTGGGGGGTGGGAGCAGTGGCGGTTCTACATCGAATTACTCCCCGGGCGAGGCCCCCTTTGAGCGCCCCCCCCCCCCCCAACCGCCCCCCCACCACCACCACCACACCACCCCACCTGCATGAACACACGCATGTTTTCTACAAACAGGCATGTTTTATTAGAACGACTATTGAACATTCATTTTTCTAAGTTGCACATATTTACATTAATTACTATGAAGTTGTCAGAATGTAAAGCACTATACATTATATACTGTATCAAAATATATAGAATCAAATAAACAAAAACAAACAATAACTAAATATTAAGAATATATGAACATAATAGATAATAAATATTCTAAATAGCAAAAATATTTCACACGTAACAAACTAAAGATAATCACTACAGCATTGCACTTAGAACAGAAAACACAAACTAAAATTAAAACCTATCCATTATGCAACATCATCAATAATGTCATCACATGAAATCTGCTCCCCTACTGAGTGATTGATACTAATCAGAGCCAGGTTAGTGAGCCGCCCCTGAAACATAGATGACCTCAGGTATGACTTGATCAAGTTTTGAAAAGCTCCTCTCAGCTTGAGCCACAGTGACTGACAGAGCAGTCCAAAAGTTGGGGTAGATCTCCAATAGATCTCATGATCCATAATATTTTACAATTGCCTCTGAAATTGTAATTTAAACTGACATAAAAAACTGTAGACTACCAAAAATGCCAACTTTTACAGAGCAAATCATGTAAAAAATAATCAGTGCAGCCATCTGCAATAAATAAACAGGATAGTTAGTGGTGACTGGGGTGTTTTCTTCTGCTTGTAGAATTGTTTTATTTATTATTATGTGAACATGATCAACATGTGTTTGCTGTTTTTCAGGCAGGCCACAGGCTGCAGTGAGCATTTAACAAATCCTAGTTTGAATCAGTAAAAAACGATTCAAGGACTTTTTTCAAACCATTTGAATATTTGTTTAAATATTTCAGCCCTATTAGCTCTGTTAGCAATTAGTTGACCGCATTTAACCGTTAAAATCCCAGTTAACTGGTTCAAAAAATTGAAAACATGCATCATGAGAGCTACATACCTTTATCTTTCTGCTCTTTTTTCTTTTTTTTTCCCCTGAATCGGGCACCTGGTGGTTTTAGCCTTTTTATGTTCATCTCTTCTGTTTGGCTCCTGACTCAGTAAGTTTCCTTTAGTCGGGACTAATCAATTTGACCTTGATAGGGGGGTGACCACAAAATCGTTTTGTTTTTCCTTTTTTTATTCGGCCATTTCACACAATTCAGAGAAACCTGAAAGAATGATAGGCCTGTGTTTATGATATTATGAATGAAATATGGAAGAACGTTAAGATGTGATTGACTTTAGCCATGTTAATACAGTTGATTCAGCCCCTGCACGCTCATTTCATTTGGGAAAGACGCAGAGGTGAATTCCCCCGCCGCACCCCTCCCCTTCCTGTTCTTCATAGACACACGGAGCACGTGAACGTTCTCAGTCAGCAGGAGCGCCTGCAGCTGCAGGAGGCGCCAACTTGCCGTTTCCAATCCAGACACTGTCATATGACAGATAATAGAAAACCTCGGTGCGGCGCAGATTTCCTTTTTTTTTTTTTACTCCGCGCTTGTGCGCCCCTTTTGTGTCATGAAAAAATGCCGCCCCGGGCAACTGCCCTGTCTGCCCGTGCCTAAAACCGCTACTGGGTGGGAGGGTGGGGTGGTCCCCACAGCAAGTATACAAAAAATATATATATTATGTAGAATGTAATGGGAAATAGGCTTCAACACAAGCAGTTGTGTTCCACTTGGTCTAGTACTCAACCAGTGTCTACTTAATATAGTGTAACAATGTTTTTGGATGGTGAAAAGTGCAGGGGACAAAAATTGACTTAGGCAAACACCCCCCCCCCCCCCCCCAACTACATCCATGCTCCAACCGTTTTCTGAAAGGTTGCAAATCCCAACCGTCTTCACACGCTCTCACGACACACCACCAAGTTCTCCTGCCGAGAAAGCTAAAGCTCTACACTCAAACATGACTTACATGAGTGAGAAGAGGGAAATGTCACCACCCAGTAGCGACATGCTAGAACAAAACCCGAGAATATTCTACTAGCATAACTAGCATAACTTTTTACTTTTTAATCAAATGTGTCATGTATAAAAATGGCAAATGGTCTGTGTTTGATAAAGTGCCTTCTATGGTTCTACAACCCCCCAATGGGCTTTACAACACAAGGTGCGAGGCGTTTTACAACATTTCCCTTCATGCACACTCAATAACAAACTGGATTTATATTTTCAAGGCTCCATTGGGAAAAGGAGGCTAAATATTCCATTCCAAATGGCAAAAAAGAACTAAAGTGTAGTACCAGAAAGTTGTTCTGTATTTTGCCACCAGAGGCCAGAAATTCCTCTTCCTGTTCAGCCCACACTCTGACTATTTATACGTATTTTTTAAGTCAACAGGATGGAAGCACAGAACTCAGTACATGTATTATGTTAATTATCTGTCAAATAAGAATAAATCAATAAGCTAATGCAGGAGCTATTAGCAGCTAGCTACAGCACAACAAACATACCAGATCATACGCCTCTGGTGCATTAATGTGTTTGCATTTCACAATTACTCAAATTATTAAAAAAGATCTCAAAAACAACAAAAGTAAATAATGACAGAATAGAAATGCTGTTTTTTTACTGCTGACTCTTTGCCAAAAAATAAACTTTATGTTCAGTTACTGGTAATCTGTCGTTTGATTTGATAGACCTATACTTTCTAGGTCAAGGATGGAAAGACAAGATCTCAGTCCTTTAGATTTTCCTTTAGATTTAGGCTTTCGAGAGTAAAGATTTTACTACGGTGTTCATTAAGCTACAAAAGACAAAACTCATTAGATTTGCCTGTAAAGTCCTTCACATACTACTCATACTTGAGAAAAACAAAATTTGGGATTCATAAAAAAATAATTAAACGTTTAAGTGGCTATTATGCAATGTCAAGATGAAATGTTCTGCAGATATCATTAATGAGAGGACAAATATTTTATACGTAAAATTATCTTTGACTTGGAAGAAAACAATTGTGGTCTCTTGCTTTGAAGGTAATTTCAAATAATATTATAAAATATGCTTTGTGTGTGCATCTGAGAGAAAATCAGTAGAACTTGAAATCTGTCAAGAACATAAATAATGTAAGTTACCATGAGCTGCTTTTTTACTGAGATAAAATAAGCTGTAAATGTATCTGGTGGCAACCAGTTTATGCCAGCTTGAAAATAACTCAATTATTTTCAATGTGTGGCTTTTGCAAAAAATTGAACTCAGCAGATGTCTTTCTATTAAATTCCATATGTTGCTTAAATGCATCTGAGTCACGTCTGTAGGCAGTTTTGGACCACTCTCACCAAGCGAATAGTGTTTGTCTTCTGGAGAGAGAGTGAGAGGGGGATACAAGTGCATGAGTAAAGGAGTGCATAAGTCAAAAAATAAAAGCAGAGTTTAATCTGCTCAGGCTTATCACCATTGTCCACTGGGGGGCGACAAAAGACAATAATCGGATAAGGCGCAATGTAGTCCTAAAATAAAAAGAGGCTATCAATTTGAAAACACGAGAGACAGAACAGTGATGGGAAAATTATTACAAAGAACACAAGAAGGAAAACGGGTGTGTGCGCTTTGAATTCAATTACATTTTTATCTTTACTATTAATCAGAGGTGTGGACTCAAGTCACATGACTTGGACTCGAGTCATTATTTTAATGACTTCTGACTTGACAAAATATATAAAGACTTACGATTTGACTCGGACTTGAACGCCAATGACTTGCAACTTGAATCGACTTGCATCTGTTGACTTGATGATGACTTGAGCATATTTTATATTTTAGCACAAAAGTGGCACGACATGGACAAAAATCATAAATCATTCTTCGTTCTGGGTTTGATCTTGTTCTGCTAAATGCTGCAGCACTTGGATTATAATCAGTTTCTGTTGCACTTTCTGCTTGTTTGAGCAAATAAATGAAGCTTTAAGAAGATTTGTTTCTGGAATTTATTTATTATCATTGTTATTAAATTGAAGCTGGACAGATGACTTGATTATGACTTCAAAGTTAAGGACTTGGGACTTGACTTGGACTTCCACATCATTGACTTTGGACTGCACCTGGACTTGGTTGTCTTTGACTCGGACTTGACTGGAAAGACTTGTGACTTGCAAAGCAGTGACTTGGTTACAACTCTGCTATTAATAGATTTTGACCCAGTTCAGGCTGCACAGTGGTTAGCACAGATGCCTTGCAGCTAGGAGGTCCTGGGTTTAAATACTACCCTAGGGTTCTTCTGCATATGACTATAAAGTTGATTGGTCTCTCAAAATGATCAGGTATGGGTGTGTGTGCTTGGTTGTTTCTCCTGTGTGTCTCTGTGTTACCCTGCAATGGACTGGCAACCTGTACAGGCTGTACCAGGTACAGGCAGTGGGTGTCTGTTTGCCCAGACTGCTGGAGATAGGCACCAGCCTCCGGTGACCCTGCATGGACAAGCGGTTATAGAAAATGGATGGATGACGTTCTTTCGGTCGATGCCCAAAGC